AGCCGGTCTTGAGCCGTGGTGCTTAATACAAGAGTGAGAACGACAGAGAGAGAGGCACGAGTGAATGTCGCATCCTCCCCACAGAGAGAGACTGTGTGGAGGAAGAGAGAGGGAGAGAGAGCGTGCGAGGGGTAGCGACCGCTGCTCCTCTGGCTGTGTGGAAGAAGAGAGAGTAAAGGTTGGGGGTCCTAGTGTTCGGGGTCGGGGGCTTACAGCAAGGGGATCGCCGCACTCTCCGTCTTCAGCGAAGTTCAGAGCACCACCTGGCAACGACAAGCCCAGCACGGCGCCGGGGACAGACGGCAGCAGCAAGCTCGCAACAGCAAGGCCTTCAGCAGCAGCAAGAAACCTCGGCATACATGGTGCTTAGAGCGCAGCAGCTCATCACACAACTGATGCCGACGCTCGTGGGAGATCAAGTGCCAATCGCAGCAGAAGCACTTGGCCAACTGCAGTCGTGGACGAGGGGGCTATGGGGGCACGACATCCAGCTTGTCGGCGACTCTGCGACCGATTCGGTCAGCTCACTTATGGACACAGTGCCCTGGAACCCTCCGCAGCCGACGCGGGGACAAGCAGAAGAAGGTCACCCCCCGGGGAAAGTCCAAGCCGAGCTGTGGACACCAGCGGGGAGGCAGAGCAGGGGGCATCACGGGGACTGCAGCCTGGACTCCGTGGACATGCCTGGAACCGAGACAGAGGACGAAGCGTTCGGCCTGGAGCGAAGACGACGCAGCGCTACCACGCCGGCTACAAGAACAGCTGCGCCTACTGAGAGCGGGGAGGGAGAGAACAACGAAGCTCGGGGCCGTAGTGAGTACTCCTCCCACAGGCGCAGACGTTTGCACGCGGCAATGTCTGATGATTAGGTGCCCGTAGTTTTGAGGGGTTCGGGGATAGTGAATGCCTTTTTCAAACACGCCGCTTGTGCATCCGGAGCACCGACCTAGGTACATGCCAGCACCACCAGCAAATACCACCTTGAGCCGAGGTCTGCATGTGTGACGTGCCCTTAGTTCCCCTCAGGTGCCCCTTCCCTTTGCTTCCTAACCCAAAGGCACCGGCTCAACAACGTCACGACCACCACCGGCGAGGGGACCCCCCATGTTTGGTGTTGTCCCCCTACTGCCGTTTGAACCTGCGCCCCCTCTGCTTCCCTCGGGGACCCCCGCCGACAACAAGCAACATAACCACGAACCACACTGAAGCCAGGAGACAGTAGCAAAGGGGACCAAACTGTGATGATTCTCTTGTCCTTGTTCACTAGTTTCGCGCTACCCGAAGGTTCTCAGCGGTCAGGTTGTTTTGCAATCCGTCACAGGGGTCCCTACCGACTCTTCAACTGCTCCCCCCGACAATGCTCGGGGAACCAGCGAAGAGTTACCATACAAAGAGGGGTCAGCACCAGCGCGAAGGACCAGGCAGGAGGAGTTCATGCGTGTTGTTCATGCGAGTTGTCGTGTGTTGTCAAAGGAAATAGGCCTGGATCCTATCGGTGCTGAGCTCTAAGTTTCACGCCGACAGAAAGACACTGGACAGTGGCGTAGCGCTTGCGCGCAGGGGAAGGGGATCTCTCCCCAACCCTAAACGCCTAGCAAGCAAGCAAGAGGCCGGGGGGTCTGACCCGCCCCCTATGCCCTGGGGAAGAAGAAGAAGAGAGAGAGAGAGAGAGAGAGAGCAAGCAAGGGAGGAGGAGAGAGGGGAGGAGGCAATAATGCGTGCCATTGCGTGCCGGAAAGCGCATGTGATTCTGGCAGTGCAGGTGTTCACCCTGATGCCTGCGAGTCAGGCGCGCTGAGCGAAGTCATAGATATGCATAGATCTTGACCAGACATGTCAACTTGTCACAGCCGATCTCCCAGCCTTCGTGGCAGCCAAGCTCCTGACAGGCTAATCAGGATGGACGCAGCGCCAGCATCACGGCACCAAACGGCCCATCCCAAGAGAGATGTATCCGCGCATGCTTCCGCGAGGCCCGTATGGCCGTATGGTTCGGTGTCACAGCCTGCTGGGCCTCTTAGCGCAGTCTTGAGGCGAAGTACCAACCGGCAGAGGTGGATTGCCTTGTCCCAAGACAGCTCTCGCTCAATCTCCCGGCCGAACCGAAACTCAAAGTGAAACTTGCGGCCCAAGGCTTCGAGACGCATGGAACAGGAACCGCTCTCGGCGACCCTATTGAGGCCCTGTCCGGATGGAGCGACTTCAAGAAGTTCAAGCCTTCTGAGCCTTCTGCTTCCGCAGGTGGGCGCTTTCAAGCGCATTTATGCCCAGTCTCAGCGAGCCCATCCACTCATGGTGCCGACCTCGGCGGAACTTGGTAGTAGAGTTTCTTGTTTCAATGGCAGCGACTCAGGTGACGAGCTCCAAGACCAACCTAGGCCACCTGGAAGGTGGTGCAGGCTGGTCATCCCCGCCTCATCTTGCATCCGTCTCCTTGCCTTCTTTCCCTTCAGTTTTCGCAGGCATGGCCGGTTTCATCAAGTGCATCCTGCAGGCAGACTCCCTGTATAACGAAACCAGCCTTGAGGACGTTCTCTGGCTTGAAGCTCGCAGGTCATGCGTTGTGAGGCGAGTCCAAACATCCATTTGCGTGAGAGAAATCCGCATTTGGATGTGGAAGGACTTGCCGTAACTTCTGCAGACTCTTTTTCTGTGTGCATTCTTTGGCCCAGCTTTGTGAAGTACCTTTGCGAGAGAGCAACATGGGGCTTAGCGCATGCTTGTCCAGGGCCTAGGGCTTCTGCCTCGGTCCTCTCGGGGCCTCGCGTGGCGGCATGGGTCCGCTTTGGGCGCGTGGCACGAAGTAGTGTTTATATTCCGGTGTTGGTGAGTGTAATTCTGTAGGGCTCCTCAGGAACATTGGTGATTGTGTATGATTGGGACACCCTTTTGATAGCAGTAATAAAAGTCCTGCTTGGCACAGTTGCTGTCAGGATTCCCGACCCAGTTCTTGTCAGAGGGCTTGGTGACGCACTACAACACTGCGGTCACCGGTGCTAGAACCTCGATGTGTGTGGTAAGAGCTGGTTATGTTGCGGCTCGCACCCAGAACGAGAAAATGGTTCGTTTCTCAGGTCAGTTCCTTTGGCTTTGGAGGCGCAAATCTTAGATCTTTTAATACGAAAGAGCAGATGGTGGGATAAGCTTTTCCTTGAACTGAGCGGCTGCAGAGCTTCTCCATCATTTCACAGCCTTCAAATTACTTGTTTTTTTCCAATGTTTCGAGGCACGAATGCCCATGCAATGCTGGGCCCCCAGCACGTCAAGCTGATGCCTGGTACAGCCACCATGGCATCTGAGGGCATTCGGGCAAAATTGTGTCACTGCCCGGGATGTCACCAAGAAGGACTTCAGGCAGAAGCGAACCGCAGCACGTAATCCCGGAACTCTCCAATCGCTCCGACCACCCCCCTGCCGCTGCTCCGGAAACACCGTTGCTTTTTTGTGAGTACCGGCTACTAGCTTTCCGCACCGCAGGGGCCTCATGCTGCAGAAGATTATGCAGGCCAGCTGTTTGCAATGTCCGGCGATACGATGCACACCCGAAGTGTAATCCGTTACCTTGAACGGTAAACTGTGAAGTCGATCTTGCCACGTAGCTGTGGCTTGCAGCAACTTTCGGATCGAGCTTTGGACAAGCCTGAGTAGATGCTTCTCATTGAGCCACCCTAAGACCGCGCAGAACTGTTCAATCTGCTGCGCACCTTGCTTATACCAGGGTGATCATGACGATCATGACTCATGACGGCAATGGCGCTACCAGTAGCAAAGCACTGAGAAAAAAAGCAACAAACTAAGATGCTCTTGAAGAGCTGGCATGCCTCCATGCTGAGGGCCACATGCAGCCGCGGATCTGGGCGCGGCTCGGGCAGAGACTACTGGCCTTGGGCCTCCACAGGCGCAAGGAGAAAGATCTGGTCTTTAGGGCAGCATCCAGCGTCGGCCCTGGGGAGCAGAGGATCCAGCGAAGGAAGAAAGGAGCCTCTGAGCTAACCCCACTCTTGGCTGAAGTAGATGGCGAGCTGGAGGGGCAGGACATCCTGGATCAGGCAAGACCCGAAGATCTCCTCGAAGTCTCGCCCTCTGACGAGGGCTCCGGGCTAAAGGCCGGGCCACTTGCCAAGAAGATGTGGAGCTGCGCAAGACGAGGTGTTCGCAGTGAGGAGGTCTGGGCGCGCTTCGCGCAGAGAGTGCTTATGACAGGCACACTGATCGGTGCCACAGACATTTCTCTAATGTTCCGTGCCTTTGCCAGGATAAAATATCGGGACGCACGGGCTCTCGACACTCTTTCCCCATTTATTCTTCGACACATCGACTCTTTCAACACGGAAGAGCTTGTCCTCCTCCTGCTTGCGCACAAGAAGTTGGAGTATGAGAGAACTGACAACCTCCACCTCTTGCTAAACGTGCTCTGTCAGAGGAAAGAGGAATGGACTGGGAAGGATGTTGCGCTCATTAGCAATGCCGTCGCACACTTCTACATCTATCGCCCCCGCTTCTGGCGGCTCGCGGCCATGTCTTTATATCGACTCGTCTGGACGATGAATCCACTGGAGTTGACGATCCTCGTCAGTGCCATGGCGCGAGTGGACCGGCGAGACGAGCAGGCACTCATTATGATCGCCAAGATGTGCCGCCGCTGTGCCCAGCGGCACCTCTTCAGCCAGGAGACACTTGCCACGGCCATGAATGCCTTTGCCAAGCTGGATTTCAACAATGTCAAGCTTGCAAAAGTCTTTGAGGACGCCGCAGTGAAGAAGCTGGATCGTGCACTGGAGCTTGGCTCGCAGTATCGGCGGTCCGGTAGCCTCCGTGACCAGGATGTCTTTGATCTCCAGGCCTTGGTCCTTCTCTTCCGCACACTTGTGGCTTTGGTGGGAACCTCTGACGATGTGGCGGAAAAGCTCCTGACACTCCTAGCATGGTCGAAGGAAGAGCTGGGGGATTATCAGCGTCGGGTGTTGAAGCCGACCAGTGTGGCCTTCCGTCGTCTCCATCCGGTCTTGTTTAAGAGCCTGAGCATGGAGTGCCGGGATGCATTGCACACCTTCGAAACCACACAAGTTAAGATAACCACTTTTGAGTCTCGCTGGATGAGGGAGGTGCGAAGCACGCTGCGCAAGATGGACGTCAGCGTCGAACTGAAGCCCCTTATCGACGACCAGGTGCTGGACATCTGGCTTCCGGTCAGCAAAGCAGTGGTTTGTGCCGTGGGTCCGTATGGCTACTATGCCGGCACAACCGAGAGGACCGCCTACAGCAAGCTGCACCAGCGAATCTTGGAAATGGAGGGCCACGTGTGCATGACTGTGCCGTATTTCGAGTGGGCCGATCTGAAGACAGAGGAAGACAAGATGGTCTATTTGTGGTCACTGGGCCGCAAATCTGCAGGGACGGGCAAGAAGGGCCAGGTCTCCAGCGAAGTGGGCCCCGCCGTCGAGCTCCCCCTGCAGTCGGATCTGAGTGATCTCGGTGAAGCGAACCTCTAGCAACAAACTGCCGTCTCCCCGCCCACAGTTCGCTAGAGTCTCTGTGATGCTTTTGCTCTGCGGTTGGCAGCATGACGTACTCGTGGTTCTTGTTGCCAGGCGCTGCCGCCCGACGTCTTCAAGCACAGCCTCGACCCTGAGGACTCATGCGACCCTGCCAAAACCAAAAAGGCGCCAGACAGTTTCTGACGACATTGCATCCAGGAGTGGGAGACCAACGGAGCACCCTTGAGCGAGGCGGGTTCCATCTGTGGAATTTGCGCGAAGACGCTTAAAGGTGGAAGTTAGGAAACGAAAGATCGCGTGAATCTGAGCCCTGCCTGAACCCAGCTCCGCCATCGCAGGACAAGATTGGCAAAGTCTACGAGGTAGAAGTCGATGCCAGCGGTGCGGCAGCCGTAACCTCAGGCTGCGCTACGATTCGAAGATCAAAAGGCGAGATCTAGGTGTTGTATCCCGTGTAAACAGCAACAACTGGTCTCTACCAAGCAGGAGCACCGCGCACCTCCATTTCTTGCAATCCTTGCCGAAATGGGGATTCTGGAGGTTTGGCGTGAAGTGGTCGACACTCCGCCAGATCCGAAGGCACACAAGAGGCGCAACCGGGGTGGGGGAGCTTCTGCCTTATTGTTGCTGTGCTTTTGAATCCTGGCCCTGGCCGCCTGAGGTTTGGCCTGGCCGGCAGCTTCAACGGCGCAGCACCCAGAGGAGAGATCCGAATCAAAGCTCAGCTGCAGCCTGGGCCGAGGCTGGAGCTGCACTCAGATGGCAGAACTCCCGGGCCTACCCGGACTGCCTGGACCCTTAGATCCAAACAAGTTCCGAAACCTTCAGTAAAGGGCCTAAGCCCAGGTTTGCGGCGGAGATCACGGTCGGTGAGTCCGGAGAAGAATACTTCCACGTCCTTGGCGACGAGGAGAAGAAGACACGTCATGTCATTTGTGTCATGTGAAATGTCGCCGGCCATGGCTTCACCAGGATACTTCTCAGGTGTACTACCCTGCACAACCACGGAGCAGGCGCAAGGTGGACCCTGCTGGAAGCCACACGCGATTTATATGAGTCATATGAGGTTCTTTCACGGTTTACGGCAAAGGTGTTTTTGGAGCGCTGCAGTTTGCCTTTGGCTCAATGGGGTGGTTGAAGGTTGTTTGGATATAGCATACTTCAACACGCAGGGCAGGGACGAATCCTGAGCCGCATGAAGGCAGCGTTAACGTGGTCTCAACCCAGCAGCCAGCACCACCGATCTCAATTGCAGAGGTAGGCAGCCGCGATCAGTGATATATCAACATCATCTGCAGAACGGCAAATCGGGCTCTGAGAGGTAGGTCAGGCCTCCTCCAAAGCATTCTAGCCATAGCGTGCCACAGCCCTGGCCGACCTGTTTCTGATGGGGCCAACTTGGGTCTGAGCTCAAGCAGTGGCCTCGGCTGTTCCAAAAGGCAGGCTCACGGCATCGACAGTTTTTGACAAAGCTGGTGTCAAAAGGCCCTGGAGGTGATGGTACAGGTGAGCCATCGGGTTCGAAGATGCACAGCAGATGCAATATCGGATATCGGCCTCGCTCACTTCCTTTGCAACTTACAAGTCCAAGGAGTTCAGGTACATGGATGCCACAGGTGATGTCGAAGGCCTTGCAGGTTGTGTTTGCACCTGTCAAGTTCAAGAACCCACCAAGACTGCAGGGTGCCGGGTGGCGGCACTGGCTGGCTTCATCCAGTGAGCTGTCAATCAGAGCATCCATCAGAGTGCACGTCGTGCCCAAATGGTCTAGATGCCACAGGTGATTTCGAAGGCCTTGCAGGCTGTTCATGTACCTGTCGGGTTCAAAA